CTGCAATGCCTGTGAAGCGTGGGTGAACATGGTTGCGAATCCATTTTGAGGGATCGGTGTCCAGTTTCTTTGGGACGCTTGCAGCTGCACTATTATTTATACGTAGCTTTCTCTGACCAAAGGGCAGAGTTTTGGTTTTTATTTATTTTTTCTACATCAGCATTCATTATTAACATTCAAATGCCTAAATATTTTGAATAGTTATGAAATGGCTTGCGCTGCCATGTTATTTTATGAGTGTGCATCAGTGTATTTACAACGATCTTCTTGGCGATCAATGCCCATCATTTTCTACAAAGAATGACTATCCACTAACCCTAGTAAGTCTCTACAACAAAAATTAAATCGTACCACATGAACAACCTACAATTCTGTACACCGACCGTGTTGGTAGGGGACTGCCCAGTTACTAACGAGAATAATTCCCCTACGTCTGTTCTCCATTGATCGTTTTGGAAAACAGCTTAACTCTGTACGTGCAAAAAGCGATTTGGACACACACAAACGAAACAAAATCATGTTTCACAACAATTTCTACACAAAGTTTGAATTTCCAGCTTTGGCCAGTCTCTAGCCCTGAGTACAGTCCTGTAGGTTGGCCTCCTTCCGTTGATCATTCGGCCCCACATGTTAGCCAGTCTCTAACATCGTCTTTCCAAATATCCATGGAAATAATCGTTGGAAATACGTATTAAATATTTGCAGGTGAGTTTGTAGTGGTGGCAATAGTGCGAGTTCGCATGTAATAAATATTATTATTATTACGTAATTTGTTATGGGACGCCAAGACTGTGAGTGGTATATGCCCCCCAGTAATGGCGGCGGCGTATGAGGGCGTACTTTCGAGAAGCGCTCGTCGGATTACTCTATATACATAGTATCAATGCAATGGGACTTGCTGTTTTCAACAAGAATTCAAAAATATTATTTGTCACCATAAATGATTGTGGTTTTAAACAAGAAGAAAATATCACTTTTTACCAAAAATGACAAAAATATTCACCAAAATTAGACAATTAAAGATATCATTACAAAATATTACATCTGAGAGAGGTCCACATGTAGTACCTATATATGTAATAATAACAAAGCAATTGGACTTGCGGTTTTTAACAAGAAGTCGAAAATATCACTTTTTACCAAAAATGACAAAAATATTCACCAAAATTAGTGAATTGAAGATATGATCATGAAATGAACAAATCTGAGAGAGGTCTACCCAAGGTACATATACACCAAGTATCAAAGCATTCAGGCTTGTAGTTTTCACCAAGAAGTCGAAAAAGTAAAATATTGACATGGACGACGGACGGACGGACGACAGACGACGGACAATCACTCATATGATAAGCTCCACTCGACAAAGTCGACAGCGGAGCTAAAAAAACAGTACCCCCACCCTCGCTGACAGCTTTGGTACAACCAATGCAGGTCAAACTCTTGCTCAACTGATTTTTTCACCAGTGTGAATTAGGTTTCAACAGAGAAACACCAGTACCCATTTACCTTGAAGATCCACGAAGAGTCAAAAAAAAGAACTGGTTCACACTCTTCACAGTGTGGAATTATGCATTGCCTATGACTGTGTCCTGGGAATTTCTGCTGATGTAGCAACCAATGTATTTACTATGTATGAGAATGAAGGAGTGGTGTGTCTTCCCAAACTTGCCAACAATGTATTCACTATTTCCACTAAAGCAAAGGACTCATTTCAACTCAGATGTTGTAGTCATCATTCTTAGGAGGCATCACAGATATATTGCTGCACATGAAATTTCAATTGCTCTGGGCCTAGGAAAAGCCCCAGCTTCAGCAATATTTCATGTCTTCACTGGATGTGATACGACGTCATTTTTTGCTAGTAAGGAAAAAGGAACAGCTTGGGCCACATGGGCTGTATATCCTGATGTAACAGACGCATTCCTTTTCCTGGCTGATGCACCACCATGTATTTCAAATGATACCTTCAATGCTCTCAAAAGACTTGTGGTCATTCTTTATGATAAAACACGTTGTCTTTCTGGGGTGAATGAAAAAGACAACATGTTTTTGCCAGAAAGTTTTGGGCGTTGGAGAGCATTCCCCAATACAGGCAACCCTAGAGCAGCATATATTGGGATTTACTTACCAAGGAGGGTTCATCTTGGTTCAGGTACAGCCCATTCTACCAAGTCCTGCTGACTGGGGAAGACTGCAAAGTTTTAGAGTGGACAACCATTGCTCAGGCTCAAGATACCTGCTATGAACTGATACACTGCAATTGTAAAAAAAAACATGCAATGGTATACGCAAATGAAACAAGGCCAGTCTCCATGTGCTGCTCGTTATTGATGTGAAGGCAATTGCTACCAAGAGTAGCTTTTTGCCCGATGTTGTTTTTCAGCCTAGCTGTAATCGCCAGTAACACCATAAAATACAGTGGTTGTCCCATTATGTGTCCCCTTTGTCGAGTAAATTCCAACTGTTCGCAAACCTTAATGTCTTGGATTAAGTGCATTGCATATATTGAACACATACTTTATGTTAGAAATCACATCTTTGCAAATTAACAGCCATTTTTGAAAGCATTAGGAGTTGGATGCTCTAGTAGTTAATAAATTAAGCTAATAAACTCCATAAACTTATAGGTTTGGTGACATACTGTGGAATACTTTATTTTCGCTGGAATTAATTTTCGCTGAAAAGGATTTTGGGGCGTTTTGCTTGGAATTTATTTTCACTGATTTTTGATGAGATTAATGTGAAATATAGGAAAAAATATATTCGCTGGATTTTATTTTCACGGAATCATCCCTTCAGCGAAAATAAATTCCAAGCGAAAATAAAGTATTCTACAGTATCTATTCTATACCCTAATTATAAGCCGCCATCAGGCGCTGCTCACGTGGGTCCACTTAATATGTGTGCCAATATTCATGCTTTTAACCCAAAGTGCACGGTTTTTGGCTTATCCGCCTATTATATTGTTAAATTGTAATTAATTGTTCTAAATTTCAAAATTATACGATTTTTTATAACTCATGTTTTCAGTCACATTTTTTCATCAAAAATGCCTGTTTTGTGATATTATTGAAAGATATTTTACTGATTTTTACTTATTTATTTCACCAAATCTGCTGAATTTTGTTGGCGTCTATGTAGAGCCATGTATTACAATAAAATGGCTTTTCACTTACATAGCTGAGTTGTTAGAAATTATCCCATTTTGAAAAGCGATATTAATCTTCTCATTAGTATTATTATTTGTTCATATGAAATACGGGCGTGTCGTCACTTGCAAAATCATCCCCTTGCTTTTAAAATAGAGAAGTTTATAATCGTTGGTTTCATCACATTGATCATTGATTCAATAATACATGGAAAATACTTGCAAAATTAGGTAGTATTAAAATCTAGAATTAAAGTCTAGATTATATGTGTTGTGTCAGCATAAGACCTACACATCTCTCCCCTTGTAGTATAATGGTATGCCACAATTCAGTTGCATGGCGATTGTGAATTACTTTGGAATGCGTCGATCAGAGCCTTGTACGAATAGAAATAAATATGACACCATTGACCTGCTGCATAGCATAG